AGAGGTCTGCTGCGTGTCTCCCAGTGCTGCTGCCTGGCGCTCTGCATGCTTGTTCCTGAGCCAAGGCAGCAGTTGCTGCACACTTTGCTCCTTCACATTCCTCTTAGCATCACCTATATTTCTACTGAAAGGGCTCCATTTCCTGCTCAGTTCTTCTCACAGGAGACACCCAGGGACTGGATATCACTTGCAAACCGCTGACATGTGTGAGTCACAGTGAAAGCAGAACTGTCACAGCTGGCTCCTCCTTTTGTGTTTGCACTGCCGTTCTTCAGAGAAGCCTCTGTGGAGAATTTCCTGTTTTAGGGCATCTTCTCACGGCAGAAATACGTAGGCGTTATCCTATGGTTGCCCTGGCACCGTGCTGGGATGCCAAGTCTGGCACTGCCACCGTGCCCCTAGTGTGCTCATGCCTGGGAGCTAGCCACAGTGTACCAAGTATCAACCCAGTCTGAGGAAACTACAACATAGCTGCTGTGGCAATGCTGTCAACAGGTCACTGGCGCAATGTTCTTCTGATGGCACTTACCATCATTGCCATTATTGCTATTATTAAACATTGCAGAAGCTATTATTCAATCATTCCACAAGGCATGGTGCAAATCACAAAAGATTTCTAAGTGCAAACACTCCTCACAACATGCGCATATCTAGGTACTCAGGGATGACTCTCGTGGACAAGATCTCCTTCTGCTTTCCAAACAGTATTACTGCAATTAACATTTATATGTGTGATTGAGGCTGGACAGTTGCTGTCTCCCCAGTTCATGCAGTCCTGCAAATATTGTGTCTACAGATAATGTGGGTAAGTCCTTGTGTTTTTGGTGGGAAGTACTAAAGAAACTTATCAGACACTAACTGAGCTAAGCTGCGGAAGATTAGCTTTACATGCAAGAAGTCTAGGAGTTTCTCAATTTGCCATAAGGAAGCCTTGAGCTTTTGTTGCAGTTTAACTCCTAAAGCCCCAAACCTCTGCTAGCCTGGAAGGATCTCTCTTAAAGTATGATACAGTAATCATTGTAATTCTATAAAACAATAAGGAAATGTTTGAATCATTCTTTCAGTTCTGTTTAGTACAGCATGTTGTTAACCAGGAGGCATGTCAAAACCTACTGAAGTTTGTCCTTTTTACTGATATGAAACACGAGGGTCTCAACTTGAGTCTCACTGACTTCCATGCTTAAGACTGTATCTTAAGCATAAGCATGTCAGGATAGTCAATTGACTTACGCTCTCAATTAAATCCACCTCGGCATTATAGTAAATAATAACCTAATTTTTAAATGTGACGGTTTTATTTGATCAACCACAGCCAACAGTGGTTCTTAACCTAATGTTACAGTATTTCTGATGTTACATTTTCAACAAGGCAAATAGATCCTAGGAAGATACATATATATAGCATCTAAGACATTATGCAATTGCATCTGCTGCTTTTGCTGCTGTCCAGTGGCAATTTATCTATTTTGAATAGCTCTCCCTTGAGTCTGCTTACAGCTTTTATGGTATAGGCCTCATCTCTTCAAACTCGGTGTGATTTAAAAACAATGTGTAAGATTGATTATGGCCAAGCATAAAATATGCTATAGTAAGATTCTGATTTGATATATAGGGTTTTCTGTTTCATCTATCAAACTCACTTTTAATTCTCTGGATTAGTTTTAAACACCATATTCTGAACTGCATATTATCAAAATGCCCCCACTCCTCCCCATTTTAGTGTTACCAGGTGTAAACAAAAAGACTAAGTCAATTTCACTAGCCTTTCACCATAAACAGATACTCAGCCATGAGATTAGGGGATGGCATCAGAGCTTGAAGACTTCTCTTGCCAAAGAGACAGATGGACATATGAAGAGTTAGTAATTTTATTACAGTCACAGAAAAATGCTTCTGCATAAGTGAATTAGTGAGGTTTGTTTGAAGATAGTTAAGTTTTATTTATGATATCCTTCTTTTTTTTGGCCAGTAGCGTAACAGGGAAATAAAAGCAGTCCCTAGATTTTTGTGGCTAAGCCATAAGCATTTTCTAGTCTCCAAAACATACAATTCATATATAATTACCAAAATTTGCTAATAGAAATAAACACTGACTGAACACTAGCAAGCCATAAAAATCTGTGAAAAAATGAATGCTGAGCATGAAGTTACCTTGCAGTTTTCTTCTCATCTATTTAGCTCAAATTTAATTCTTTTTTTCAGCTGTTTGTCTTGGCAATTGTACACCAGAGCTGCTGGTATTTAGCAATAGGCAAGCCTTAAACACAAATTCAATACCTAGCCAAGTAAATTAGAGATGAGATGCTGCTCGTATAAATAATGATGAAATTTATGAGGATGCTTGAACAGAAGTCTTATGGCAAATCCAAAATAATTTCTATTATTTTGTTTCTAGGATTTTTTTTCCCTTTGAATTTGCGCTTGTACATTTAATTATGGATGGGGATTTCTGTATCTGTCAAATCAGAACAGCATAGCCAATATTTTTATAAATGTGTAACATAAACTCAGCAGATAGACCAAAAGAAGGCTGCATTTGCCCCTGTTTTCTTCCCAAAGTTCATTTTATTCATCTCTAATTAGTTTCAAGTTTTACTGCTTACTATCACTTAGATTCCCTACTAGTAGTTCTATCTTGTGAGTCATTTTTCTTCCTCCTTCTTTTCCAAGATTGTACTTGTGTTTCTTTAAATAGTTTAGTTCCAAGAAAGCCAGAAATAAGTCTGTGGAGGTGTCTCTTGTAGAAATTACCTCTCTTTTTACTAGGGAAATGTTTTGTTAAGACTTCTGCTCCCAAATTTCTCTATTTTACAAAAATTGGATTCATTTTTTGTTGAATCTGACTCAAATAATGGGCAGGTTTATATCCTAGTTTCATAATCAATTTTCTATCTTTTATTGATTTAGGATATAACTATTGGTTTAAGAAGTAATCATGATGTAGTTAAACTAGATGATGAAACATTAGCTTTAGTAGATGACTGATAGCTTTATTATAGCTAGATGAATGGAAGTCTGGTGACTAAGCTTGCACCTACAGTTGTCTGTGCAGGATAATTTGCCAATGTATTGCATTAGATATAGTAACTTATCAAATATATATAGTTTGGGTCATGAAAGGGCTCTGAGAGCAAATACAAAAGTCAGAATAAACACCCTTGTAAACATGGGCCTTAAAGTTATACTGATATAGAATTCCTGTTTTTTCTCAAATATTCTGTGTAAATATATAATTTTGATTATATTCCATCAATTGCAATAAGTTTCTATTATAACAAATTTTAAATCTATAGAAGCATATTTTGTACCTATAGCATAGAGCATTTTGCATCCCAGGTGCTCACAGTGATTTGCAAGTCAGACTAATGCAATCTATATTTGCTTCCTCAGATCTGCATCCGCATGCCATTAAAAAGGACATGTATTTTATATTTTTAATAAGCTATATACATTAGAGAGAAAAATGAATTATTTACAATAGAGAAGTGAAGTGACTTAGTCAAAGTCACACGTATATCTTATTATAGTCATTTATTTTCAAAAATGTAACTTTCTAAGAAGTATGGCAACATTACAGCAGGTTTATATTTTCACTTGTTTACTGTGAATGGATTTTTTCTTTCTATCAGAGTACATTTATGAAAAACAAATCAGAGGACTGTATTATAGCCTGTATTTATTTAGATGAGTTGTAGCACTACGAGATACTAGTCCTTAAATTTCCAGTGGTATGCAGGTTTGCAATACTATCTAATAAGCAATATGAAGAAATTCAGAAGAGATTTTTGTAAGAGTGTTTTTAAAGTTCTTTGTATAAAATTAAGAATGGTAAGTAAAGTTTAAACAAACACCTGTAAAATTGTTTTATTATTTATGTAGAAAAACATATGTTTAAAATTTCAGTTCCTATAAGTCATTAACTTCCTGCACAGAGCTTCTGAGGTAGCTCATGCATAGTCTATTTGACCACTGAAGTCTGTGGTTCCTTAGAACTTGAAAAAAAGGAGTGTGTTCATTCTAAAAGCAAAATTATGGTAGCTGTAAAGTACAAACATTTCCTAAGATGTCTGTTCCAAGTAAACCTCTTCTGCTCTACCATTCTTTGGAGAATTTGGACAAATGATTTGGATAAAGCCTAAGACTGATCGCAAGTACTATTAGTCTGATTTCTCTTATCAATTTGCAGCTTAATAGCTTGTATAATTTTATTAAATATGCCATATCTGGTATTCATTCACATTACTTTGGTGCGAATGTATGACTGCCCCTTGAAGGACCTTCAGCTGTATTAATTTTAAGACCAACAAACCACTATAAATCTGATGTTAAAATAAAATGTAAATCTCGTCCTAACTTATGAATGGTTTGAAGTCACTTAGAATGAAACTACAAGATCTCTTGACTGTGAGAGTCTTTTAGTTTGGTAGATCCTTTTTCTCAATTCTGGTATCCCAGGATCAGCACACCTTTTACTTTGCTTCAAAATCTTTTGCTCAGAACTTACCTTGTTCCAGCAAAGTTATTTCTTCAGAAACCTAAGATCATAGATTACATATGTAAACAGCCAAAAAGGAAATCAAATTATATTCTATTGTTTGGGATACAATTCCAAATCAAGCATCTGACATACAGTGCAAGTCAACTAACTAGAGAGAGCTAGGAATTCTGTATGGAAACTCCTCAAAACCTGCAAACACAATGGTCTAAATCAACCCTGATTCTAGCCAGACAGAGAAAAAAAAAACCACACAATTGTTTTAACATGGAATTAATATTAATGTGATTTTTTTTAATCAAGTCAAATTTAGAGTGGTAGGAAGGCTCTATAGCCATAGCAGTTCTCTATCAGAAATGAACAAATTGTCAACGTGGCTGCTTGGGAGCATATTGACCAAACAGCAGGGTTCCTCTACACTCCATTTACTGCCAGTAGGACAACGAATTCTGGCATTTAACTCGGAAATGGAGCAGTGCGGCAAGGCTTTAGAAAAGTCACATACCTGGGGTGACATCTATTTCACTCCCCAGCTGTGTCTGAGTGTGAGGCATTTTGTGCGGAGTTGTGGCATGTGGCATCATGGCTCCATCTCTTGGGAAGAAAGGCCCACAGCTGAATCACAGCAATATTGCTGCGACTCTCTGCCAGTGCTACTGAAAGCGCGAAACACGGTAGCGGTAAAAAAAAGAGGGGGAAACTCTTTTCCAAGAATTTCTGAAAGACTGAATGAGATCTTGTGGAAACTTTTTTTTGTTGTTCTCTAGTCCTGCATGGCAATTATCCAAAAATCAGGAAAAATTTGTCAGAATTGCTAGAAATAATAATCTTAATAAAATTGGTGTACATTTTCAAGATAATAACAATATTAAAATCTAACAAAAGAATATTAAGATTATAGAAAACAATATTGTTTATTTTTACATAATATTATTATATAAAATAACAGAATAATATAAAAATAATAAATATATTTTTCCAAAGCACTAGAGATAAAATATCAACATTTTACTTTAAGGAAATTTCTTTAAATTGCCGTGTGCATAGCTTGAAACAAAAATAACACTGACATGCAAAGACTAACCATCCTTATTTGTGGATGTGGTTAAAAACCTCACCTTTGTAGTGTCAGATAATTGTTTTTGAATCATCACAAGGCAGTGGAGAAAGAAAAGCTACCAGCTATAATTACTGACCCAAAAGAACTTCGGCCAAACCCTCCCATAAAATCCTACTCTGGAAACCAGATACACCTAGGGTTAGAGGTAAATGACTATCACCGATGGGAAACTCACTCAGAGATTGGGAAACAAAGCAATAATAGTTCATGATAAGTTTTCAGCACTGCAGAAGTCCCACTGGGGCATACTGCAAGTGCTGTCACCTAATGAATTAATCAATCGTGTTGTAAAAGTAGACAGACGGTGAGATGACAGATTTTACAGATAGTACAGTTCTATTGAGTAGAAAGGAGATGATGGCAAAAGAACACATACTGCAAGGAGCTATCTGAAATAACAGAAAAATATGTCAAAATGCTAATGATAAAATTCTAAAGCAGTTGAAGATATGTTTCCAAATGCTTTTATTGTTTAGAATAAATATCCTTGGAAACTCAAAATGGGAATAGTTCTACTATTGTTCCACAGTCTTGAGTTTTAAATTAATTTAATAAATGAGGCAAAGGTACAGAGGTATTTATGAATTATGCAGTGGAAGTATCCCCTCTCTATACAGTAGTACAGATTTTCATCAGCTGGAACTCTGTACTCATTTCTGATAATCCTTTTTCAAAGTGATAAAGCAAGATGAACTTCAGGTGATTTCCCTGAAGTTCCCTGAAATCAAAAAATAGTCAGCTTAGACAAGAAAAAAATGGGAAAGAAGAATATAAAGTGATAGCTGGGATGGTCTACTATGCACTTTTAACTAGCAGTTTTTTTTTTTTTTTTTTGTGAAAGAGGATGAAGAGAGAGACAAACAGATCTTAAGGAACTACATTTGCAATGAGAGGGTTTAAAGTGAACAGGATACAGTTAATTCTGTGAAACTCTGACAAATAATACCGCTGCCAGAAAGATGTTAAGTCTTGAGAGAACATTCATCTTTGTATTAGAATAAATAAATATAAGACACACCATGTCAATCACTAAAAATTAAAAGCTAGAAAAAAGCTACCAGTGCATGAGCCATTTCCCCATTGTCAGAATTTTTACACTTTTGAAATATCTCAGGCAGTTTGCTGACAGACATATGATATGAGGTCATATGGGATAGTAAAGTAGGATAGCAATTCTTGTGCTCAGAAAAGACTAGGCTGACACTAAACTGTTTCCATCACTAGCTGAAGTGATTAGCAGGGAATTGGTTGCTTGACAACCATGTTAGCCCCAGGTCATTTTCACACTATTTATGAGCCTATGTTCTATTTGCATCAGATTTATTAGCTATCCCTTTCAAAGGGAGGAAGGATGAGATAGGAAGCTGACTGCTGCAGATCTCCATAGATGAATAAGTCAAGATTGGCCTTGAAGAAAAAGAGAGAGGGAGGCATGTGGAAAAATGGAGATTCAAAAATGAAGCAAAGACATTTCATACCTGAGAGACTGAAGAATGACTGTAAGCACAGGCTGCCCTCAGATCCACTCATTTCCCCCACTCCTGATCCATGAGGACATGGGTGATCTGCAGTGTTATCCAGGTAACACATGGTGTTTGGCCATGTGGGGTCACTTGTGTTTCTGCAAGCAGCCTGGAGCTTTTCAATTATTAGTTCTCCCAGGCCTGTGTTGAAAATAACAGGGTTCTTTAAGGAAAGGCAAATGCAAAAGGAAAGGGATAAGAAAAGTAAATGAGCAGGATGCAAAACTAAGACTCCGTGTTCTCTATTTTTCATACCTGCATCACTTTTTTTTTAATAAATACATAGATAATGGAAGGTTGTGCAATTTAGTATAGGATGCAATTCTTAAGATTCTAAATTTAAATTCTGTGGTAGCATTAATATTTTTGTTACTGATCCTCAAAGTGACAAAATCTATTTAATAATATTTTTGAGATGACTTTTCTTGATTTGTAATTGCTTGCTGGGGTTTCTTGTTTTGCAGCAGTTTTTTTGGTTGCAGTGCACTGTTAGACTCCAGTGTCTGTATATGTGAAGCCTTGTGAAGCCTCTTTTTGCAGCAGTCAGCTATTGGTTAAGAATAGCTACATTATACTGTCATTAAATATTCATTAAAATGAGTTGTGGCAGCCTGTGAGAAGCATCCAATTAAGTGGTTCACTTTCTACACGTAAGGCTACAAATGAACAGTCTTCTTGCTTTTCAATAATGCATCACAGGCTACAGTTAGTACCTGTAAAATAATTGATAAGGCAAAAGTTATTTGTAAAATACATACTAGAAGTAGAAAAGTAGATTAGAGGGGATGATTTTGCCTTGGGACCTTCCTATGACTGTGGGAAAAGAACAGTGTTCTTTGATTTAATTTTTACACAGCCTAGGGAAAGCTGAAATGCCATATCTAATCATTAAATATTTTCTGTTTCTGACATGTATCACCAAATCTTCAAAATCAGAGATGGAAAAAACATCTCAGACTTTATTCACCTGAAGCCATCACAGAACAGTAAATATGGCTTGGCCATGGGAAAGACTTGGTGAGTTTTTTTGATTTATCCAGTATACCTTATTTTGTTGCTAGCATGTTGACATGCCCACAGTCTTGTTTCACAGCGTGTGTCTACACTACAGTGAGATAATCACTCATAAGGAACCTCTTAGGCCTAGGAGGCTTTTCCTCAGAGCAGCAAAGCTGCTCAGTATAGAACAACAGTAAAGTAAGAGGACCAATCCAGCCTTGTGCCAACCTTTGTTTCTCCAGCCCTAGGAATGGCTGGGGAGTAAGCTAGGCTTTTGTAAGAGTTGTATCCCAAGCTGCATAAGACATGCCCTTTTCCCAGCAGATTTCAGGTTCAATTTTGCCTTGTATGTATCTCACCTTTTGCCACTTGCTGATAATTTCTCGCCTGTCTTGACTTATTGATACTAGTTTCAATTCACCACTTCGCTTAATTGCTGATTTCAATGCACTGTTTCAAAATGTACCTTCTGGTTATTATCAAACTCCTGTGTACAAGCAGGACCTAAATTCCATGGGACATTGGTGCAGTAGACTGGAAACTTTTTGGCCATTTCATTTATATTTAAAACGTAGACTTTAATTGAATTAAACATGAAGCAAAGCACTACAAGCTGTATAATATTTTTAACCTGGGGGTGAAATTACAGTTCATTTTGTTGTCCCTACAGTACAACATTTAATGAGATACAGAACTTTGTACTGACTATACTTTGATGTCAAAGGAAGAAACCTATGGATGTAGCAGCTAGCACAGGGCACCTGAGCTTGAAGCTTTCAAGGGAAAAAGAAAACAGGCCGACAAAGCCTACACTGCAGTGTTGAGGGATGTACTTTTGTGACACAGCTAAGGACTGGTTGCCATCAGAAAAGTCTCATTCTTCCTCCTCCATCCTCAGCCTTAGAATCATAGAATGCTTAGGGTTGGAAGGGACCTCTAGAGATCATCTAGTCCAACCCCCCTGCACACGCAGGGTCACCTAGAGCACGGGGCACAGGACTGCGTCCAAGCGGGTTTTGAAGATCTCCAGAGAAGGAGACTCCACAACCTCTCTGGGCAGCCAGAGGGCTCTGGGCAGGAGCCTTGGGCTCCTGCGTATCCCTTGTGACCAAACTGGCATCCGTCTAGTCCCATGGTGAGTGCTGTGGGGAAATAAATCACCACACGACTAAACTTTCAAGAAATAGAAAGAGTTTTCTACTACTAGCTTACATCTGAGGTATTCATAAGGACGAGGGAACGAGGCAGAGCACATGGTTGGAGCAGTGGGTGGCTCTGCTTTTCAGAGATTGGCCTAGATTCTGCTTTCTCCTGGTATACTATTCAACAAATTGTATTGTTAGAAACTCAGCTGAGTTAGATTGCAGATTTGATACCATAAAGCAAAAAGAACTACTATTGCGTCTGTCAGAGACACAGTTTCCGACCAGCTGTGGGCTCAGCAGTCAGTAGTTTGAACCATAGTTTCAATATTATTTCAATACTGCTGCTGTTTTAACTGCCCTGCAAGGTACATCTCACTATAACATGATATTATGGTAGAAAGAGCCAGTTTACAAGTTTATATATGTTACTGATCTCCCAACCACTACAATATCATGAAAAAAGAGGAAATCCTGACCACTGGAAGTGATGGCAAAAATTCTTGAGGATCAGGATTTCCTATACCATAGAAATAAGTGTATATCTGTGATATCTCAGCAACATACTAACTCTTCATTCTTTTTTAAAACTTTCCCTTGCAGTGGTTTTCAAATAAACCATTTTTGAGGATTTACCATTTAGTATGTTTTCACTATAAATGATGTATATCAATTAAAAACTTATTTTAAAATAAGAAAAAAAGAATGCTTTTTTAACAATGACACAAAGTGCTCTGTAAGTAATTAAAAAAGAAATAAAAATTAAAACAGCAATTTTGAAGTTCTATCTTGCTATATTT